ATAGTTGATGGTGGCTGGTCATCCTGGGGGTCATGGAAGAGGTGCAGCCTAACTTGTGGTGGTGGATCGCAGAGCCGAGAGCGCAGCTGTACAAATCCTCCCCCACGGTGGGGCGGAAGGAGGTGCCATGGACTTAGTAGCATAAGCCAGTCTTGCAACACAAATCATTGTCCAGGTGAGAGTGTGTATTCGGTGTTAAACCAACAATCTTTTATCATTTTGATTATTAATTTTGCTGGTTCCAGGTGCTCCATGCACCTATAATTTCGTTTACATAGATTTTTAGATATCAATGTTTAGTAGATGCAAGGTTTTTACCATACGCTGCTATTTAGATGTGGCAAAGTTCTGCCTTATCTTTATCTTCTTTGTTCAAAAGGTTGAATAAATCAGCATTATATACGCATGCAATTTGCAATATCAATGCAGATATCAAGTTTAGAAGCTGTAAGGTTTCTACCATATGCTGGTATTAAGATTCTGTAAAGTTTCTTTTATTCGTTATTCTTATTTGAAACGGTCAAAATGTTGAATGAATTAGCAATATATATGCATGCAATTTGCAATATCTGCAGGCAGTTCTTCATTTTATAACATATTTAACTTGTTAACCATGTTAACCTCTGATACAATGATAGTTGATGGTGGCTTGTCATCCTGAGGAGCATGGGAGAGCTGCAATGTAACTAGTGGGGGTGGATTACAAGGATGAGTTTTAAAGTTGTTTCTTAACGGCTTTTTCTTGAAACATTGTTAGTCAATGGTGGTTGGAGTGAGTGGAGTTCCTGGAGTATCTGCACCAAAACAGTCAGTGGCATACAGATAAAGTTTAGAGAATGTTCCAATCCAGAACCAGCATACGGCGGGGAACATTGTAATGGGAGCAGAGTACTTGTAAGGGAATGTAACAAAATGTCCAGCTGCCACGAAGGTAACATGCAGATTGTAAAATCAGTGCGCCCGAGTTTTAATTACATAGGGTAACATTAATTGAAATACAGACATCATAAATGGTCCGTAGTCTAATCATAGTTGAACCCCATATTAAAAAGGTTAAGTCCTGTCAAAAGCCTTTGTCGTTTAATCTACATCTTAATAAATTGACCTTGTCCAAAATTAGCATTAGCATTACATCGCAGCTGGAATAAAGTTATTTTCATTACTATTATCCTTTTCTCACTCATTATTATCATCAGGATCATCATCGTTATCGTTATTATTATCATATAATCCCTATTATTATTATCGCAAATGTTTATGTTACTTTAGTATCATCATTTATATTGTTATTATTCTCATTAAAGTGTTCACTGTTGTCATCTATAGGCATTTAGTGCTAAATTTCTTGTCAATCACAACTGAAATATTTAGTTTCTTGATAGAATAGTATGGGATGTCTTATGTGAGCAGTATCAATTAACCATTTAATTTGGGGCTGATGATTATGTTTGTAACACACCTAGAATTGGTAAACATTTGAAACTAGATACATATTTGGGGCAATCATCAGCAAAATAATTAAAATTTGTAGAATCTTTAAGAGGGCCTCTCAAGATATACATATACTTTTGCATTATTTCTTTCATCAGTATTTCCACTACGCTTTAGAACGGAGAGCAACCCATCGCTTGGTACAATGGAAATCCATACAAACAGCAGCTGGAAAAAGCTTTGCACCAGTACGTGGAATAAAGTTGAAGTAGATTTGACATGCATGGCAATGGGATACTCTAACAGCAGTGATTATGGTAGATGGTTTGAAGACAATGGCAATGTATCAGAGACATCTACCAATTTCAACTGCACCACCACTTTGACTAAATGTGAAGAAAGCTTCTCAAACAAACTGCAACTCTGCAAAGGTATTAACCAATTATGCATTTTGGAATCTGTCGTCAGATCTCTTTCAATCTTCTCTTATGTACATCCTATTCTAGGTACCCTGATAGACTTGATCATAATTCGAGCGGTAGACCTCGCCAAAACATCCCTTCTTGCTTTGGTAATTGATTATGTACTAGTGTTTCCTCGAAGACTGCTCTCTAAAAAATATGACATATATTGACAATTAGGTTGTTTTCGAGAATTAGTTTAAATCGTTGAAGGCGTAAAAAATGCCCAAAAATGATACCTGAACAGCTTCCCATCAAAGAACCCGTACAACCGAATTGGATTTCTGATCCTGTATGAACACCTTGAACTTTTAAATTTCTTCATAATCCTACTGTCTCCTTCCTTCCCTTATCCATATTTCGTCCTTTTATTAATTCACTGTTAACTTACCTTCATTAATTGCTTAATATTTTGTGACTTTATAAGTTCCCGTTCGCTTGAGTGGTGCAAATGTAGAGTATGGTGGTAGAGTGGAAGTATTTTACAAAGGGAAATGGGGAAAAATTTGTACCAATGGATGGGATTTCAATGATGCCCGAGTTATTTGTCGCCAACTTGGCTTTGAAGAGGCTCTTGCTGAATTTTTTGGCTCCAACGTAGAGGATGGAAACACTACTTCTGTAATGGCGGATGTTTCCTGCACTGGAGAAGAGGATGAACTTGCATCTTGCACTCGCAGTGATGGAAAGTTAAATGTCCCTGGTCAATGTCAAGGAGATGGCAAAGGTTCCCAAGCACTGTGTCAACCAAGTAAGTAAGGCATTAATAACGCCGAGATGGAAATTCCTAAAGGTAACTGGTCCTCGTGAATAGTCACGTGTTTACAGTTAAACATGAAAGATCAAGATACCAATAGTTTTGAAACTAATACCGAATACCGAGATAGAATGAACTGATTATTGTGCGACATGAAAATATTTCTTTCAGAGAACAGAAAGGTATCGGGAAAAGAGAAACTTCACTTTGATGTCGGCAACGATAAAATCCTTCACTGCTCAATACGTAACAAAACCAAGTTGGCGAGATGGGTCATTAATGGTCAAAAGGTGCAAAGGAACACTTTTTCTTCCAAGAGGGTCAAGACCACAAGAGATGGTAAACTGGTCATAGAAAATGTGCAGTTGTCTGATGGAGGAACATATGAATGCCTCGTAACGGAATATGTTCAGTATTACACGGTCTACATCAGTGGTAGGAAAATCCTTTTCAACGCATTTAGAAGACCTTAATTGCCTCATTGTAGAATAGGTTAACATAAAAGTAAATGTGGCCGTCACACACAATAGGAGCACACAATACAGACTAGTTAGCATTTCTTCACTGCAGCTTCAGTTAGTGGTTTTTTTCGTCATGTATTCCAACAGCAAGATTCACTGAGAACACTCGTGACCAGCAGAGCCTTATTGCTTACACATCTGGTATTATAAACTGTAGTGCTGAAGGAACACCACTTCCACAGATAACATGGAGGAAACAAGGAGAAACGTTAGTACCTAATGGAAGAAGATTCGCTCAAATTCCTAGCGGCAGTCTACACATTGATCTTGTTCATCCTGAAGACGGTGGCACATACACATGTATCATGGCACAAAATAAAGGATCAGAAAGGGTCACAATCACAGCTAAAAACATAAATGTGTCTGTTATAGGTGAGTGAGTTATTGAGAAAACCCAGAACTGGTTGGGTCATTATACCAGCACGAAATAATTATAAAAATAACGATAAAAAGTTTATTTCTGTGTCGAACCATGTAGCCTGGGAAAAGCCCATGCTAATAAAGGGACACAGACTAATACAAAAACTTAGACGACTAAGATATCTACACTAAAATATGAATAATACAAAATGTAATCTAAATTGTATTAAAGATGACGCTAAACGATATAGGCGACTATCGATGGCTGATCTTAAGAATTTGGTCACTTAAGTAGTTCAGTTGCATGTAGATAATGCTGATAAGATAGGTTTTTTATTTCATTTATTGAGGTTAAAGCAATCTTTGGCTTTTTTTTAAAGGTCTTTTATTTTTTGCCTACAGGCATTTCTGTCAGATCACTTTATGTGTTCCAATCATTTATTGTTTTTAGCCGTCAGAATGGACTTCCACCCGGTAACTAAAATTAGTCTGATTAAAATGCATTGTCTAATTTGTAGATTGATGATAGTGAAAGTTATGTGCTAAAATTTAATTGCCTTCTAGGGTATATATATTATGTGTGTACAACAAAGCCGATTTGTTTTAATTTTTTTACTTGTTTATTCAAAGTTCGACCACAGGTTAATGTTTCAGGAGCAAGTAATCTAATCAGAGAAGGAGACACTGTAACTTTGACTTGTAAAATCATTCAAGGTCGGCCCCAGCCACAGATAACCTGGCTTAAGAATAACTCTTTTAAAGGACACAACATGTCTCTCTCCTTTAATAAGATAACAAAGGAAGAGGCAGGTCTGTACACTTGTGAAGCAAAAAATCGTGGAGGAATTTCCGCTGAAAATATCTATATTTCTGTTAAAGGTAAGTTTTCAGGTCTAAAATTGCATTGTAAATCATTCAGTTGTGTTAGTTTCTGCCGATTGACTTTGGATTAAATGCTGTGGGTTTAAGCGCTGTTAAGGGTTTGTAATGATTTTTCGGAGCTTGATTTATAAGCGACGAATCGCTAGTGGTTTGCGATCATTCACAAGCTCAATAGGAAGTATTTTCTCCCAATTTAATGTGTAGTCAAATCCGTCTTTAGTAAACTGAGAAGTGTGGCGCTTGCTTCCAACTTGTAATTACTTAGCTTAGTTATATTAAACGGCTGCTATTTGGTAGTCATTGACAACAAAACATCTGCCATAACGATATTTGCTCTGTATCTGTTAATATTATCTCATCGTGACTTTCATATTAAATTTTTTTTTGTAGTTCCACCACATTTAAATCCTGAACTCAAGAATCTTTCAGTCCCACTGAACTCCACATTTGAAACAGATTGTTTTAAAAGGGCTGATCCTCCAGTATCAGTCAATTGGACCAAGGATGGAAAATCTCTTGGCAACAACAACACATTAGTTATTAAGCGTGTGACGTTTGATGATGAAGGTCTCTATGAATGTGCTGCTAAAAATCCGTTCGGAAAAGACAACACCTCTTTCTGGATCGATGTTACCGGTAAATCAAATTCTATCTACCTTTGGCATCTTGACAAGTTTTCACCCTCTCGGTAGTTTTAATCAGCTTTACTGGAGAAAAAACTAAATACCTTTTCAACATTCTTTATTTTTATTTTCATTCCTTTGTTTATAAATTTGTCTTCGATTCGGATACCTCTGTAAGATGGATATCTAGATAAGGAATGGACGCTCGCCTTAGTTATGTTGAAATAGACTAAAGTTTTTTTTATGTTATTAATATATCTAGGGATCTAACTTACCCCTTTGAAATGTGATATCCCTATCTATTGTCAGCTATAGTAATCCGGTAATATCTCTAACCTCAGAAAATGCATATAGTTAGCAGACTCAAAAATCGTCTCACATTTTATTACTGCAAAATGACCCGTGGTTGTCCAGTTGTAACTTGTGAAGCTTGATTGAAGATCAGTGGTGACCTTTTTATTTTCAGTGTCTCCTCAGATTCTATTGTCTCCCATAAACCAATCTGTCACTGATGGGGACCCAGTCAACTTTACTTGCCGTGCCACAGGTGTTCCAACACCAAATCTGACCTGGACATTTAATGGTGGTAAACTTCCATTTGGTATTAATCAAAACAATTTTGAGGGAGACTCATTTCTGGAATCATTTCTGGAAATGCAGAAAATAACAAAGGAAATGGAAGGAACGTACAAGTGTACAGCAGAAAACAAAGCAAATAGAATAAGTTATTCCATAACACTTCAAGTATTTGGTAGGTCCAATAATTATAATGATTATGATGATAATATTAATACTAAAGTGGATGATGATAATCTTTATTTAATAGCAATTAAAGTGACTATGGTGATGGATCCAATGTAACAATAATAATCAAGGATACCTCCCTCGCAAAATAAGAGGTGAAAATGGTGGCTAGTGGCTAAAGGTTGCCCAAAAAGAACTGACAGCTTGTTAAGAATGAGATGGAGTCTTGATGCCCCTGGAATTTCTGCAGGACAATTGAGTCAAAGAGTGCAGATACAAACTTGAGCGTAATGTACCTGGGAAAATACCGTAGCGAATTGTGGGAAAGATAATCGTTGCGCATGCACCATTTATCAGTTGTTTATGATGACTCTTCCGTATAATCACTTTGTGACATTTTGTTATTGTCGCTCTGATCATTTTGATCTCAAAGATTTTGATTAATGCAGTGATTTGTAGATTTGCATGGGGCAATATGTCTATAAGAAAACACAAAGTGCTGGGTCTCGGTTTACGAAGAAGCATCTTGGAAATTCGGTTGGATCGGGTCCGAGACACTTTGGCAAATCTTCAGAAATATTTTGGACAAGTATTTCAAACCCCCTTTGAAACCCCTTTAAAGCAAATTTCACTCAAATCGGCACGTTCTATCCCGCATGTACTATTGTAGGATTGATTTCGGATCACTAAATTCTATGATAATTACCTTACTAAGGTGTCTTGAGTGAAGCTTTTTTTTTTTTACCAAAACCAAGTTATGTATACATTACCTCTTTCCCTCAACACAGAAAAACCCACCGCCAAAGTGAGTCCAGAGCCATACCCAACGCTCATTCAAGGTGATAAGCTTCGGTTAACTTGCAGCGTCAACGAAGCAACAGTAAATATCACTTGGAGAAAAGATGGAGACCCAATAAAAGAAAGGGCAGTCATTGATACGCAATTGGATGAGACAACAAGTTATCTGGTTGTTGAAAAGGTTGTGGAAGAGGACAGTGGTGAATATTCTTGTGAAGCTCGTAACAGACTAGGAAATGTCGCCCGCTCCATTGTGATGATAAAAGTCAACCGTAAGCTGGCATTATTGTAGAAACAATCTGAAATTTAACAACAATAAATCATTCGACTAAATGGAACCTGAAACTAACCCTAACCCTTAAGCATGCTATTTACTGTTTTCTGTTTGTTTGTTGCCTTTTTGTTTTTGTTTTGTTGTTGTTTTTTTTCAATGTGTAAATGCGTGTTTGTATATTGGGTCTAAGCCTGTAATTTGGGTCCCCTGGCCTGTTAGATGCCCAAATAAGTATCATCATCATTGTTTGTTTTCTATTTGGCGAAGGGAATTTCTCTACATCCATTTAACAAAAAAATTCTCAATTCAAAACAACATTCTAGCCAGGTCTTCTCCATATAGTTCTGATTTACCTTTCTTTGAATCTCTGCCAGAAAACAGTAGCCATTTCTAGTGAGCCAGCGAAGCTCTAGCGAAAAGTAGTATCCAGAGGGTCTGGTTAATACTTGGTAACAATCTCTCCCTTATCATCACATGCACTTGCTTTTTTTATTTGGCTAAGAACCATGTGTTTAACTTACACCAACAGCTGTGAGTCCATTCCTAGTGTGGTATTATATTTTTGGATCAATGGCTGCTCTCATTGTTATTTTGCTCATGTGTTGCTATTTTTGGAAACGTCGAAGGACAGGTAAAGCTCGTTCTTCTTATCTTGTCTTGGGTAGTTTTTCCAGAGAATTGTCATGTGAGAAGCAAAACATAGGACCAGTTTATGTTTACTTTTACTTCACCTCGTATTTCAATTGTTCTTCCCAAGTCATTATAAGGTAAATATTAATACCCTTGGTTTGCAGGAAAAAGAATACCTTTGAGGCACTATTGGCATGTTTCTACTGCTTTTTTGTCTGGCGATTTATCTGATTTATAATCTTCTATTAACCACTGATTAAAGCGCATAAAATATTTACTTAAATATTCAAATTAAAGGAGAACTTTTTTTCCTTCTTTCTTTGATTTGCCATTTGGACCTACAGCAGCTGCCATGGCTCTGTAAGTCGAATAGTTTGCCATTCATTTGTTGAATTGAAATTTTTTTTATAAAAAAAATTGAAGTTGGGGTTTAAATCTTACTCTCATATCAACCATTCCATTTGGAAAGTTAACTAGAATGATAGTCTGCGTGAACGAGTAGTTCTACAATTTTAGTTTTTCTGCACAAGAAAATGTTGTTTTTTCATCTCTAGAGTGATTATAATGATTATCCATTTGGAAAGTTAACTAGAATGATAGTCTGCGTGAACGAGTAGTTCTACAATTTTAGTTTTTCTGCACAAGAAAATGTTAATTTTTCATCTCTAGAGTGATTATATCCTTCCATAAATAGAAGAATCCAGGCAAATAATTAAGAAACTCAAAACGTTTGCGTAACTTCTTTTTCCTTGATCACGTATACTTTGATTTATCATTAGAAATTGTATGATTTTCATAGAATTTAGTCCTAATCAAGGAGAAGCAGTTGAGATGGAGCTGTTGAATGTAGAAGTGGATGAATGGGAGATTGAAGGGAACCGTGTCCTGCTTCAAGAGGTCATTGGGCGAGGGGCATTTGGAGCAGTGTGGAGAGCTCTCCTTATTCCTCCAAATGGGAGACCTGGAAATCGCACAGTTGCCACTAAATGCTTCACACGTAAGATCCATTCAACTATATCTTCTCAAAGCACGTAGATAGGTACTTTCTGGCCAAGGGTGACCTGCTTTGTGCTTTCCAGTGATCATTTATCTCAGGTAGACTAAAGCCCTCTAAGAGATTCATGCAAAGTTACTTTTTATAATAACAGCAACAGTAAAACAATAGAGGCATCAATAGCAATAAAAAATTGGAGGATGGTAAACATGTGCCACAATTGTGAGGAAAAGAAAATAGGAATTCCTCGAAAGGATTCGCTCGCCGATAGGTTCCATTTTTGCAGCTGTGAGCTCCACCAACTGAGCTTCAAAGACCTCTTAAGATGTGAGGTCTAAATCCTCACCCAAAGTTTTCGCTTCTCAAGCACGAGAAAATTTGTCAACAAGGATTTTTTCCGGCTATAAAAAATATCCTTTTTATTGTAGCCACTGCAGGGGAGGAAGGAAGAAAATGTTTGATGAGAGAGATCGAGCTGGGAAAAATTCTTGGTGAAAGTAATCAGCCAAACATTGTGAAGTTCATTGGCTGTGTCACAAGACAAGGTACATACTAAGTTTAAGGCATCATTCTTATTATATGCAATAATATTTCAAATGTGTATGAGACTGTTAGCTTGTTTGTTTGTTTGTTTTTTCTTTTTTTTTTTACTGATCCGTTACTTTTTTTCGTTATTTTAAGTTCATCCAATGCTTATCATGGAACATTTGCCGTGTGGTGACCTGCTTGGTTACATGAGAAAATGCCGAGGAATTAATGATCGGTATTATCTTGGAGAAGGAAGGGCTCAAAATTTGAACAACTATGACCTTGTGCTATTTGCCAAACAAATCGCCGCTGGTATGGTATTCCTTGGATCAAGGGGGGTAAGAAACCAAAATGCTTCTACATTTAATTTTACCGCAGAAATACTTGTTAGGGATTGTTATATCTTTTGAGTTGCTTGAATATAGATATATCTGCATTATATGAATTTTTTCGGAAGCAGGTTTCATATTCTCAATATTTCGCAAGAGTTCCTTTGGTATTGTAAGTGGGTCACCTAATGTCGCAATTCTGTCGGTATATGTTTGGTCTGTAATGAACACCCTAGGAACAATAGTTCTTACAACCCATGCAAACGTCTGTATAATTTTCCCTCTGGTCATGGTAGATCTCACAAAAGATATGCATTTGTTAGCAAGTTTACATTTTGGATCTTTGTCTTTTGGTAGATAATCCATCGTGACCTGGCAGCTCGAAACGTCCTCCTTGATAACAACTATGTGTGTAAAGTGACCGACTTTGGCATGGCATATCAAAACTTCAAATATGGTCATGGAAATGCCAAAAAGGTAAAAGATCGTCTTTGTTTTATCTTTTTTCCGGTGTCACTTGCAAACAGATTCCTAAGGTTAGCTCTAAATCTGCTTCAAATTGACCTTAACTGCCAACTGAGGATAGCTCCACGTTCTGCCATGCCACAGAATACAACTGAGTTAGTTGACTTTATCTTTTAAATTTACATTTACTAAATGTTTTGACACTCCATAAAGTCTCGGAAGAGGTGCACCACCCACCTCACGTTTATATGCATGTCCTTTGTTAACTCGCCAGTATTATAAAACTTATTTTTAAACAAACCTGTCGTTGCAGGGCTGTTTGCCAATCAAATGGACTGCACCAGAGATTTTGTTGGGAAATTTCGCTGAACTTTCCGCCTTGAGTGACGTGTATGTATGATGTATATTTTTGCATTGAGCAGGCCATCTCTTTGGTTTTTGTCTTTACAAGCTCACATAAAGAATATCTCGGCAATACTTTTTTGAAATTTTTTCAGGTGGTCTTACGGAATCGTTCTGTATGAGATAGTTACCCTTGGTAAGTCGAACTATGTTCAACAAAAAATATTTATACTTCTCGTCCGTCCATGTGTGGAAATGCCGTAGGTATCGTTTCTGGAACTCTTTAGCAATGTCAATGCCTTTAGGACCCAATTGGCAGACGTTAGTTTGATGAGCTGTAGCAGAAAAGCTTGTTGCACCAAAGTTTACGCCAATGATGAATTTTGCTCAGCTTGTCGAAGTTTCATTCTCTGTAACTGAGAACCGTTGTTTCAGGACTTTCCTTGCCCTGACTATCACTCAAGACGAGTAGCATTTTGTGATCGACTTTAAATGACGAAAAACCTTTCAAATTACTTGGCAGAAAAGTGGTAATCAATTACATAAAATATAAGGCTAGTAAACATCATGTTTCGAATGCTACGGTCAAGCACTAGAAGTGGATCTCTCTGATTTAAATCTCAACATTTTCAAAGGAAATATTCGGGTATATCACGGCCACATTGTTTATTTCTTCGCAGGAGGAATTCCATATGAAGGATGGTCAGAAGGGAATGTGGTTGCACGAGTCACACATGGATACAAACTTCCAAAGCCCGATCATGTTGATAATAAACTGTGAGTCTTGCCTTTCAAGTTGCCATGTTCCATTTTAAATCACCCAATCCCTCCAACCCCGTAGAAAAACATATTCTCTTGTCTAATCTGGTTTCTTCTTTCGTTACTGAACTCTGCTAAATGAAACAAAGTTAACGTTGGTCACCAGTTTGTTCAGTCAAAAATTGTCTTTTCACTCAAGAATATTGAAAGATGAATTTTCAGCTATTACAGCCAGACATTTCTTATCATTTTTTTAGAGGGCTCTCTTAAGATTTCTTTAACGGTTGATTTTTATCACATATTACATAAACCACAGTCCGGTATTGAACATCATTCCCTTATTCCAGGTATGCTATAATGAAAAGGTGCTGGAATTTTGACCCCGACTTTCGTCCTCCCTTTGAAAGTCTTCGAAAAAGAATGGATACCTACCTTCGTGAAGAGGTTTGTAGCACGATTTGAACAAGTCCTTGACGTCCTTGTAGGCCTCTAAGATTATTTATTCCTCTAAAATTACTTCATAGACCATTGCTCTTTCAAAGTTGATTTTAGCAGATTAATGAAAGTGCTTTAGGATTGTATTGGTTTCTTCTAACTACGGCTGAGGCCGCTTGCGGGAATTTCAGTGCCTTGAGCTTTCAGTTTGACGGATCTTGCTTTTTGTTACGTTTCTTACCATTTGCCCCAGCCTATTGATGTTTTTTTAAGTTTTAATCCACTTAAAGATAAAACGCGCCAAGATGTCCCATACCCACGAACTCATCTATCACCATTCCTTCCACCCTTCCCGCTACTTCCCTTCCAACTGACTGAGCATCTACATTCATAATAAAGGTTGATGGGAGAGTATAACAGGGTAATTTGGTATTTTCAACTGAGTTGATAACGTAAATTGGCCACCTTTAAGTCTTAAAGTGACAGGTTATTATAGTCAACTTACTGGTGAAGTCAGCAATTTGTGCCTTGCTGCAGTAACACCAAACGCAGAAGTATTTTGCAGCAGCTGAGTTAATTCCGTAAACCATTGCCAGAACAACATCAGAACAACAGTACCTGCCAAGAAAGGAAAAAAAAAGCAATTAAATCAAATAACATGATGAACTTAAAAAAAGTTAATTCAGTAATTGAATGTAGCAAGATGGATGAACAAAGGGCCTAAACTATTTACCTATGTGCATGATGAATGTGGCTTTAAAACCTCAGAAACTTTTGAGTGTAACTTATCAGTGAACGTCAAAAAATCAACTTACCATGTCCCTGAGTAGTGAATTGCATCGATTGTCAAAGATGAGTAGCACAGTCACATAGCCATTTGCTGTAACATAGTTCAAAAATAACTATTTTTTTATTTTTTCACTTTTTATCACTTTTTGACTTTAATTTTGATCAAAATGTACATTGTAATCAATATCTGTAAATATTTTTATTATTTTGCATTAATAACACTAATTTTGGTATTACCCACAATCCCTTGTGGGTGTGGCACATTTTTGGTTTTTCATAAAATCTTAAGAAAATCAATGTAAAAATGGAAAAAAAGAGGTTTTGTAATCATTAGTTCACATTGAAGCAATGATTTCCTCATTTTCTTTTAAAGGGAGTTTGTAAATAGACTTTCGTCCTCTCTTTCTGACTGGTAGGTCACCGCAAATGTGACGGACAGTAGCAGCATGTACAAACGCTTTCCGTTTTTCGTCAATTGTGAAGGTCATGTCATGAATGTTCTCCCTTATGTAAAAGTGCCCCTTAAGAACTCTGTCTCCTCTGTAATAATGACACTGATAGTCATCTGTGACATAACTGTCAAGTTCTTCAACTCCATCAGAAGTGACCTGAAGGAGATAGAAGTCGTAGACAGGATCATCTTCAGCGGCTATCGCAACTGTACTTCCCTTGCTGGCCAGATCAGCTATGTAGGAAGCAGTATCATGGTCTAAAATTGGTGCTTCAGTTGCCTGTCGAGTGGTTGCCACATCACCCTCTCTGGTTAGCTCCACCAGCTTCCATTCATCAAGCCATGCCTTGTTAGTGCAATTCTCCTCATCACTCACAATGCAACTGATGCAGTAACATGAGCAAATCATACTGCCTGTTGCTTTTGTCATAAACTACTAACGGCTTTTAACAATGCTTTGGACAATTTCCGCCTTCTTTCGGGGTGTGGAAGGGAGTGTCTTCTTGACTTTATCTATAGCACGTTTTTTCGACGTCCGGTTTGCGAAACCTGGAGAATCCACGCTATTATTAAATTCTTGTGCTTCTGTTCGCTTCTTTTCACGGTATTTTCTAACTCTTTCTCTTGTTTGCTGCCTTGTCTTTTCTCTTTTTTCTTGTGCTGCGATACGGGAAGCTTTTCTGTGCTCCGGCGTGTTGGCGTTTGTTTTTTTCGGCAATGCTTCGTGTGTGCGGCCGAATTGATTTCTCGGCTTGCAATTTCTTTCGCCGTTCTTTAACTTGAGCAATCTTTTTTGCCTTGTTTTGTTGATAATAGGCCTTGTCCCTTTCTCTTTTTTGCCGCTGCTTTTCTTTCTTGCGCCGCCTTCTTTCGCGAAATACCTGAATTTAGATTGGACTCTTTTGTTTCCATCTGCTGCGGTTGAATTCCCTCAGTGTTGAAAATCGCGTAAAACATTTTACTGTTATGCAATAATCTGCCCCTGCAAACTCTGTATGGACTCCCATGTTATTGTCTGTATAATCAAACCTTGTGCTTTCAAAGAGAAGCTGCGAAGGAGCGGATTTCGTGAAAGTTTTGGTGGTATTTTTCGCCATATTCCCTCGTCACTTTCCTTCGTTACGGTTCATGAACACGGAAACAATGGCGGAAATTGTTTCTGCGTCGACCAAACGTAAATTTCTAGCGTTAGATCTAACGAAATGGGTTGAAACGTTCTGTAAATTTAGCTTAATACAAGCCCATTCCAGGAGAGGTGAGCTTGTTTACTCAACTTAACAAGAATCGCGTCTGACAACGGATCTACTGTTGGATATGTGATGGAATTAAGCTCAATATGGCCGTTACGAAATGTGTTTCTGCGCGTTTTATTTTGATTTGGAAAACATTCTACTTGACGATTCAACTTCAGCGTTGGTTTGTAAATATTATGATGGATGCCCATTACATTTTTGTTATTAGTTTGTTGCTTAAACAGTCGAAATTATCATTATTGCTAGTTTTGCACACTATGGTTGTTTTAATAGTTGCGAGCGTTACATTGTTCAGTGATAAAAACAGACGTTTATAACTTGCGTTAGAATAAACCATTCCTGTTGCAAATCATACTGCCTGTTGCTTTTGTCATAAACTACTAACGGCCAAAAAGTAGTGGCCCCATGTGCGTTCCACATTGAGATATTTCATTTTTTTCCTTCCGTCTGATACATTTCATGTTACGCGTTACACCCAGAAATTCACGCATTTTCAGGAAATATTTATTTTTTACAATTTTCACTTTGTCGCAAACCTTGTTTTCTTTACACCAAAATGAAGTAGGATAACTAAGCTTATATTGTGGAAAGTGTGAGATTTAGAGGTTAAACCTTCCCGAAGATATTCGTTAGCAAAGGCACTTGAGTCCAAAATGGCGGCGTGACTGTGCTACTCATCAAAGCATTCATCTGGAGCTCATTTACCTGTTCAAATGTTGCACCCAGGTAGATTTTGATTTCTTCATAGTCTTCTTTTCCTAAAATTACTAATTATGTAATGATTTCAGTGAACATTCAGAGAAGTGAATATTTACAAACATTAGGAAACTTAAACCAAAATTTCACTGGAGCAAAGTGATGCTATCATGTAAATATCAAGCATGACTTTAAAATCCTATTGATTTAAAGAGGGATAAGTTTTAACTAAAACGTTCATTTAGATTTTAAATCCTGATCTATCACTATATCAAAAACAAAAAACACAAAGAAACAATTGTATTTTTGGATTCAATACCATACCATTATACAAAGCAATGGCATACAGATGGTCACAGCCATAACTTTCCTCCTCCAAGAGGCTGAGTACTGCCATAACGGTACCAATCTTGTTGCTCGTTCTCCGGCCATCAGCAGCAAATCGAAGGTTTATTTTGTTCCCATTGGCCTGCACAGCCTTTGTAGGATTGTAGAATTTGTAGGAGTTGTTCTCAAATTTCACCAATGTTCCGACGTGCCCCATCTCCTTTTTTCGCCAAAACAACGAAGATATTATCAATTAAATGTTATCAAAATGCTTATTCTGTTTTGTTTTGTTCAAGATAAACAGATCAAAGTCTGTCTCAGTCAATTGTATTCTATCACTAATTTCTGTAGCATAAAGTGACAAGGAGCATTACTCCACGTGAATGAGATGTGAGTCCATCACAAGGTCCCCTCAGTAAATGTTTTTGCCATTTAACTATCGTTTACACAAAACCGTCACTTCTCAGCCAACAGCTAAAATTTCAACTGATTCTCGTCATTAAGGTCCTTTCATTGTCAAAAAAAGAGAGCCACTAAATTCAGATATATGATATGTGATAATATATGATGAATTTCAAAAATTTGATTTTGTCTTTTTCTTTCATCTTTTATAACATTTAGTGGCGGTATCATGGCCCTGACATCCTCTGAGAGAGACATCCGCAATGCATGGTAAACGTCGTCAGAAATGAGGCCAGAGTCCTAGGCCACAAGAACATGCTGCGTAGTCTCTACCAGAGGATAGTGTATTTCTTCCTCAACATTACCAAGGGGAATAACAAATTCTTCTCCTCGTACGTTTAACTTGATCTGAAACAGATCAAAGGATGTGTTAATAAACAGTATTGAGAGGGAATTTTACAAGTTAAAAACTGTCTTGTGCACTCATTCCATACACTCAAATGAGAATTTTAGATCAAGTACTTATAAATTAACTATGAACAATCCTACACGAAGTTGAGATTTTCAGATATGCGTTGTCATCAGTGAGCACTCTACTACAGTTTCAAGTCTCAAATAATCGGTTTTCAACTGTCTCTACTCTAAACGTTTTCGATAATTTTAGTACGAGTGTAAGTCCAAAATTCGTCGAAATATGTATATTCAAGCGAAAACCAATTTTTGTACAGTGGCACTCCGCCACCTGGGGGAATGCAAGCGAGATGAAACAGTGGCTTGGTAATTATTTGCGGGGGTAACCGTATTAATAATTGAAATAAAATCAATCGGTAACTCAAACGGTGTAGCAACAAAGAATATGAAATAAGGTAAAAACGAACATAACTCGATGGGAACAAACTCGTGGAGTCCTTTTAGCAATTGCACCACAAGGTTTTTTATCCTCCTCTTTTTGTTGTTTCTGGCTGCCTTTGTCAACTCGAAGAATCGCTTTTGCGAGGCATTAAACGATGCCTTTGTGCGTACTTGGGAATGGACGTCATTTAGCTGGACGACCAACGAGTTGTTCTGATGTTTCAAAAACTTATTTTCGCCTCTCAGTCTCCTGATTCAGCTTCGTACACTTTAATAAGTGGTAAGCGCGTTGCAAACGCGCTGGACACGGACGTAAACTTAAACTTTGAGAACATTTCTTTCGCCAAGATAAACGTGAACTATTCATCTGTTCTTCTGTTAGGTCTTTTATAGGATTGTCACAATGCTTATTCAACCATATTCCTAATGCAAGGCTGCCCTTATCTTATGTTAATGTAACCAAACCATAGTTGATGAAGCGAACCAGCGACTGGTTTTGCTGTAATTCCTTACATTCAGGGTGTCACGGAACCCATCAAGAGAATTTTGAATAGCCACAACGTTAAAGTTGCTCAAAAACCTTTTCAGACTTTGGAGTATATTTTCGCCAAACCTAAGGATCCTGTCACGAAAGAACAACGTACTGACGCTATTTATTCTATTCCTTGCAATGACTGTGACAACAAATACATCGGACAGAGCAAACGTTAGTTTGGTACACGTCTGAAAGAGCATCAAAGAGCGGTTTTCTTTTGCAAAAAGGAAAATTCAGCTTTAACGGAGCACACATGCCTAACCAACCATACAATTGGGTGGGATAATTCTAAAATTATCACCACTAATCGGCGTTACCACCAGCGTCCTTGTTTGGAGGCTTGGCATATTAACTCCGCCCACGCTCCTTTAAATCGTGACGATGGCGGCTTGCTTCCTGACGCCTATTTACTCCTCGTCAGAAAAAAGGCAGTTAATTAGTGATCATATGAAAGGATCTCTTGTTGCAGCGTTTAGATCACCCCTGATGAAGGCACCAGACAGGAGTGTCGACACGTTGGGTCTATGAATCGTAACTTCTTCTGTTACATTCATTAAATCTGTAAACCAGAGTCGCATCAAACCATGTCTGACTGTCAACCTGGTTGCTGTGTGAACTTTAATAAACTCTAGAAATGTTTAGTGTTAACAACTGGGTTGAAAACGTAAATTAGCCACCGTAAAGGGTAAAAAAGCTGACGTTTACTATTACTAATCGATTACTAGCGATTACTAATCGCTCTGACGAAGGGCTAACGCTCGAAACGTCAGCTTTTTTACCCTTTACGGTGGCTAATTTACGTTTTCAACCCAGTTGTTGACACTAAATTACCTGCTATACTCTCCCACCGACGCAGCACCACAGTTTCTTTAGAAACTTACCCCTTTATCTAGAAATGTTTGTTGAACAAAGCGTTGTTGTTGCCATTCATTTAAGTACTTTGAGACCGCTTGAAGTTGGATTGGCCGTTCTACTTTAAAAAAGGAAAAAACAGATCTTGCTCGTAAAAGACTTTTCTAAAAACTGTAAAAAAAATGAATTCTTGAACTGTTTTTAGAATGAAATACTGCTAAAAGCAAGTTTTTCGAAGTTTTCGCAGAGCGCGTTTGTTACCACTTTTTATTTGTTCCTTTTGTCTTTTACCTCGCGTGGCATCCAACGAAGGTGTGATTTTTTTTCATCGTTTTAAGAAGATGTGAAAAGAGTTCTAAACTTAATATTGTTAATCAATGCTCAGAGCGTGCCTTTATAAATTTTAAATAAATGGAGGGAGTAAGTTTCTAAAGAAACTGTGGTGCTGCGTCGGTGGGAGAGTATAGCAGGTAATTTAGAGTTAACAACTGAGTTGAAAACGTAAATTGGCCACCGTAAAGCGATTGACGAAGGGCTAACACTCGAAACGTCAGCTTTTTTACTCTTTACGGTGGCCAATTTATACTTTCAACTCAGTTGTTAACACTTAATTACCTGTCTTTAATTCTTTCTGGTGTTTTCAAAGTCCCTCAACGTTAGACTGTCAGATAGGATTTCAACTGAGTTTCTTTTAGGAGGCGGTTTAGAGCGCGAAATCAAATTATGGGAGGCGATTGCGCAGTGCTTTATGCATATAAAGAAAATAGGATAACTTTCGTAGCGCGAAATTTGATTGCCCTAAAATTTGGTAGATGAGTCTGACAGCGTCACTGACGTGATTGAATGCACGTAACCTGTTGGGCAAAAAAAAAAAAAAAAAAAAAGCAGAACATGACTATGCGAAAAAATATCACCTCCTTCTACTACACAAAAGGATGAATAGGTATCTATTAGATGTCGGCTTGTATAATCACAAAAAAATTGTGGGAGGAGATTATTCAGTTTTTCGTACTTACGAAGCGCGAAATTTAAATAAACTCGGATTGAACAGTCGAGTCAAATGGGAGAAATTGACGAGTGTGTGCGACTTTTTCCACTCGCCACTGTTTTTTTAACTCCTTTCGTTGAATTGAAGTACGGAAAGAGAATGATACCCATGAAACTACACGAATTAACGACGCGCGAGGCTTCGGACGTTATTACCAGGTTTAAATCACACGCTAGAGGAAGGAGAATATGAACCTTTTTGTGGACACCAGGAGCAAAATCTTATTCATGCTGCGCGAAATTTAAATACAAGCACATTAAACAATCGAGAGAATGACGATAGTCTTCTATATGATTCAACGGCGTGTTAGGCTTCGGACGTTAATACCAGGTTTCACATGCTTTTATTACCTTTGCATCGCACAGTGAATCTCTAATTGAATATATCTTTCGCCAGTTTTAAGCAATATAAAGGAAACAACAGTGACATCTCTTTACCTTAGATACGAAAGCTACAGTCGCCCCACCATCTACCCCACCGTGACTATGTGCATCCTAAAAAAAAAATCTACTAGAATCACCCCCACGGGGAGGATTTGTCTTATCATCAGTTTTGCCGATAGTTTAAATCTGCCGCTCGTATGATAATCGGAAATTTTGAAAAATCCCGCATGTATTCTAAAGCTGTTTCCGCCATTGTTCCAAAGTAGCCCTATACGGTCATTGTTAATCGTTGAACAAAGCCTGCTATAATCTAAGCTGATCCGCTTTTCTTGATACGAGCGTTTAAAAGCTGACGTTTCGAGCGTTAGCCCTTCGTCAGAGCGAATTGCAAAGTTCTAACGCTCGAAACGTCAGCTTTTAGACTCTTTATGGTGGCCAATTTAAGTTATCAACTCAGTTGAAAATGCCAAATTACTCATCTACATTCATAACTTCCTACCTACCGACCTACCTGCTGAAGAAAACGCATTACTCTGTGCCTTTAAAGCGAGGATCATTTCTTTGCTTTGAAGTAGTCATTAAAATTTTCTTCTTGACTTGAAGTTAGAGAACATTGTGACGATCGTGAAAATCCTCTTTTATTGCTTTCCCCTTTAGACATATCTGCACCTGCTCGACATGGGATCTTATGACACGACCAAATACTCCAAGGTTGAAGATCTCGGAGGTGAAGATGCCGAACCAAGTGCACGACCTCTAAGGAACGCCGCGGCAAAGAGATTAGGAAAGTGGGCCAGCGACCGTCGTTAGACAGTGTCATTTTGAATATTGCTTAGGAACCAAGCACTTTGAAGTGCATTAAGTATTAGAAGAAAATGTGTAATGGTGATAATGGTGATAATTTAAGGGTGTTATTGTGTTGTAATAAATCAAAGCTGTTTCCTTGATGAGGCACCTTTAAGTCAGTTTATTCTTAAATCGCAAATGATAAATTACTCGATTTAGATACAGCTGATTAAGTCAGAATTTTTAAAAAAGGGTGTTATAAATGAGAAAGCAGCTCGTCTATTTAGATTTCTGTACTGGGCAAATTGTTTGCTACTGATTACTGGTGAAACAATACGACTAGTTGTTAGCAATCATGCATTGAAGTGTCCCCTACTGGTGATATAGACTTAGTAAGATATTTAGTAGTTTTAGTGTTGATTTAGTCATGCACCTTTCAGTACCGTGTCCTTTGTCGACTAGATTGGTGACATGCCTTGTAATGTGGTGTTACATGGGTCGTAAATTGCTTAAATTTTGTGTCATCGGTATCAGAAAACGAAAAAAAGTGCATTGCTATTGGTATGTTTACTCTAACCTTGTTGTTATTATTAAGTGCTTTTTCATAAACGGTGAGAACCGTTCCAATAGAGTGATTCTAAAATCAAATTAATCAAGTTATTATCCCAATATTTTCGACTCGTACAAGAAACAGAGAGCGCTATTCAGAGGGGTTGTGGCTGATAGACAGACCTTTGCCATGATAAAATGAACCGCTTATTTCAAAGTGGCGATGTGGCTAGAGCAAGGATGAGCGTTTATTTCTGTACATTATCGAAACACACTAAGCTAGATATAAAATTTTGTAAAACACTCTATATAATATCTGCAATAAAAGAGTAGAGGCTTACCTTATGGCATTATTCACAATGTTGTATTACTACTTAACCGGCTCCAGATATACACAGGAGAAAGAAAAACACCTAATCTTGTATCTCAGATACAACGTAATTTTCTTTTAAAGGACATATTTGAACAGTTCGTTCGTAATTTTTTTCTAATTAACTCCGAGTTCATTTACGGGTTTGTTGATGTTTACTGCCTCATACAGCTCACGCTTGGACGTAATACCCATATTTGATATGGAAGACTTGGAGAGATATCGATACCAGCGTTGCAATGTGTATCGTAGACATCCTTCGGAAGTTGGTCTCCCGATTTCCCTCCACCCGTCCCTTCACGCTGTTCTTGACAAAAAAAAGGGTAATCAGTAAATTATTCCGATGTAAGTCCGGTGTCCTAGCGGATTTAGACCCCCAACAAAAATGAGTGAAAACATCATCCTTAACGTTCTAGTAGAAATAGATAATACTTTACGTTCCAGTGCGTACTAGAGATGTTTTTAATTGAAAATATGCGTATCCCCAATGCATACGAACTGGCAGCTGGTTGCACATAAGCTGCGAGGGATTTAAGACTGCTCCGGAGGGCAAGTGGTTCTGTATCGTCTGCAGACCGCCAGACTCTAGACATCTTCGTAATTGTTAAGGATCGGATCCCTCAACAGTTAATAATCGTTAAAATTAGAAAATAAGATTGAGTTAGATGTAATAGTCTCCACTTCTGTTAAGACGTAGACATCAATATTGATTTTCATTTGAAAATAAGCTGAGAGCTCCAATAGTTCAGAATAGAAACATTTTTATCATCATAGGCTTTATGAACGACTTGTAGTAGGAGTAGTTACTTCGTTCTTGTTCAAAAACTGTTTAATGTTATTTAATTAGAAAATCAGAGTTATTTTTGTGACTGGACGCAACAGTCTCCACCATTGTTATGACGTTTCGTATCAATATTGATTCGCATCAAAAGAAGTAAAGATTTATTGTAACAATTGCAATAGTTCGAATGCAGTAGTTTGTTCGCATCTAATTTTTGCGTATACTTTACGACTAGCCATAATAAGTGCCGCAGAATTGGAACGAAATGGCTGTTTTTCTTTACCTTTATTGAGGAATGTTGTGTTGTGATTGAAAAGAACATCGACAAAAAGCTTGCAAATAGAATTAGTTACCAAGTATGATACGAACGATGCTTAAAAGGAAAGTTTGGTAGGGGGTCCAAATCTGCGCAGGGGGGGGGGTCCAAATCCGCTGCAACACCGGCTCTCATTGCGTCAATGGGTAATCTCAGTTCCCTGCCAAACATTAGCACCTAGGGGAGTACCCTGTAGTCATGCGTTGATACTCGCAATGTAAAGGGAACCTTAGGAAAGTGCTGGGCCCCTTCTTTCTGCTCTTCTGCAATCTTGGCAATAACATCGGCAACCATACGGATAAGTAGTTCAGGGCTCAATCAAGCTATGTAACCAACGGAAATTCCGAGACTAAAAATTTCGACTTTCGTCTCGAAGCACTCGACGAAGATGACCAAAGCGGCATATAAAGTCGTCCATGACAGATTGCCCTCGGTCGAGGAATTGGCTCATTTCTGGTGCCACTTGTGTGACACGTTGTACAATTAATCATCCGTACAGAATGTACTGACCAGTAAAAGCGTCCCTAGTCTTACGCACTGACAAGTGTCTGCACTCGTCATCTACCTCCTTCAGCAGATCTTCCTTCAAATGCAGTCAGACCCTCAACTGTAGGCTCACGTGTACTGTCTTTTCATCAAACCATCCCCACTACAAAACCCTATCCTGTGACTTCCACAAGGCCTCAGCGGCATATGCAATTAGGCGCTCCTCGGCGCTCCTGGTCCTTTTGTAATTAAGACAACACAGCAGCGACACAAGTTGTACTAGGGTCAGTTAACAGTAAGAATGGAAGGTCAAATCTTACTGGACCTTCACAGAGGACTTGTTTCAGAGTATCGTAAAAGATTTTCATAGTCGATGGACCACAGAAAGCTGGAAGAGAGGGGTTTCAAGTGTAGCAAAATCTGGTATGAACTTTCTATTGTAACCTAACGTTCTCAGAAAAACATTCAGCTTGGAAACACGGCTGGGTGGTGACCAGGACTTCACTGCTGAAACCTTGTCGAGGTCTGTGGACACTCCTTGCGCCGACTAGTTATGACCAACAAAGGGTGCCTTTGGTGGTAGGATACAGCTTTTTACCCCCTCTGAAAGCGTCCTGGATATTTTCTGTTGAATTCATTGAGTTAAAATCTCGGAATTTGGTAAATGATTAGGAACGATAACTTTATATCGGTACTATCATTAAAGCACATTGCGGAAAGTTTTGTTAACACATTATTAGTTTACAATTCGTGAACCATCTCTGTAATCTGCTTGGATACTTTCTTTTGAATTAATTGAGTTACACCCTCGGAATTTAATCATTAATTAAAAATGATAACAAGCACAAGTGAAGCACATTTCAAACTTTCCATACGATTTAGGAAACTACACTTAATTAAATGCTGATTCTCGATAAAATGGCCCGGCATAACTCGTTCATTATTTGATTACCTTGTAGCCCCAAAAACCTGGCTTATGACTCTGGAGGTACCGAATCGATGCATTTGATACACAAGGCACCCTTTATGGGGGAAGGTTAGAATAAAATTGCTTCACTTCCGTAGACTGCACCCGGTTTACAGATGTAATTGCACAAAAAATTCCTATTTTTTTGTATTTAGAAGCATAGACATGTGGGTAATATGCTTCTGCTTTATTTAATTGTAATGGGTTTCTCTTAATGTAACATGTATCCATTCCTGGAATTTCCTATCTAACCCGCGCGCAAATAATCAAATTTTGTCATAATTTAAGTGTGAGAAGATAGGAAGTGTTGCAGATTTCTTTTTCCAGATTGAGTTCAGGTGAGGAGACCAGTAAACTAGCTGATGTCATATGCTTCTCCTGAATGTTTAGTTTTATCGCCCAGGTTTTTTTACAAAGCCTCTTTTACATCTGTGTGCCAGCTAATGATTAAAATCGCAGTGAATAGGTATGCCATATTTCAGCAGTTTTTTTTTAATATTCCATCTTTAGTTTCTGGTATTTTCTATTTTAAAATTTGTAAATGGCATTGCTTTTTCATCTTTGAAAATAGGCACTACACATTTCCTTAACCAAAATCTGAATCATTAAGTTAACTTAATTTAAATTAGTTTGAAACTTCATTCTACACAAGAACACTTTCCTGGAGTATAACGTTATATTTATTTTCCGTCTTTCTCGTACATATGATTACTACATGTGTCTTAAAATGGGGATTTCATTATATTGTAATGATTAGAATAAACTTTTGCTTTCAAATGTAAAAAAAGCGTGATGATACTTGCGATACCGCTGCAGTGCTCTACCAACTGAGCTAACAAGCGAACTGGGAGCCGGTCACTGTGTTGGTTCCAAATAAACCCGTGAAGTAGTGAATAAACGGCTGTGAGTATACGAAAGTCATATATTTGAACTGCGCTGGCACTGCACCGGTATCGCAGAGGTCATGGGTTCAAATCTCGTACAGGCCTGAATTTTTTTCTGGCCTTCTTTTCACTACTGCTTAAGTAGTGTTCATTACTGCGAAGATCGCTTTCGTATCTACGTCTTCATCCACAGTTCAAATATATGACTTTCATATACTCACAGCCGCTTAAAAAGATTGTTTGGTATGGCCGTTGTTAATCTTTGTAGCCAAAAAGCTACTGAATGCACTGAACTTCAATCTTTATGTACACAAGGCACCCTCAAGGTGGAAGACTAAGGTATTCTTGGACAACAATTTTAGAACTCCTTTTTTCTTCTTTTTCTCCGCTCACGCTGCGTGTATTCGATGTTCCGACACGTGCGTCGTTTTAGTCCGCTCTTTAGTCTTGCGTTCAATTGAAACAGAGTTCACATTACTTTTGGTTGTTATTTGATAACAATAAAACTGTCCATTCTTTTCCTTAAACAAAGTTGCGTTTTCATCCCAGTAAATCCATCATTACTCTTTAAATGTGCATAGAAGTTTTAATCTATAACAAATTGTAGGTGAGAAATTTTCTTTTTAAAATGAAATTCTTTACGAATGCCGCCAAAAAAGGTTGGAATTAAATTAATTTATTCCTCCCGGCCCTCCAGCGCGGTGGAAGAACGAGGAAATTTTTGTTCTTTTAGCACTTCGTGAAGTGTTTTTTTTGTAGAACGAGGATTACTCTTGTTGATTGTGCCCTTCGCGCGGAGCTTTTATAACGAGGAACGCACTTCGCACAGTCCTTTTAGAACGACGAATAGACTTGCTGTTACATTCCTGGTAGAGTGCGGAACTTTTAAGCAACTCCTTTAATAACCAGAAAATAACTGACTTTCAGAGTTTGGCCCATTGCTGTGGGACTGTTAATAGTCTATTTCCCATAGTGACAGTTCTCTTAGCTTCAACCTTCTCTTGAATAATAAATAAATATACAAAGGTATTCCCTTATCCCTAAAGTGGGCACAATTATTACAACTATGTTGTCCAAGAAAAGGGTTTATTATTTCGCTTTCTCTTTTCGCCTTTTTTTCTTGGTCCGTTTGGTTTTTTTACCGCTTACATAAATGTCTGAATTGCTGTAAGGAATGGTCAGGATGAAGGTCACATTAATATTGTCGAATAACTTAATCGTGTCTCTACACATGGGGAAAATATAACATACTAAAAGTTCTCAATGATAATAAATCAATAAACTGAAGAAACTTTTAGTTTTGTTAAGTGGGGGGGGGGGGGCAGTTGGAGAGGGGACCTACATTTAATACTTAGTGTTAAACCAAGTTTTCCTAATAAACAGTGAAAACACCACAAGGTTTTACAGTATACCCATATAGAACTGTAACCAGAAGTCAACACCCCTCTGCTAAGAGATAACTATAATTACTTGCTTCATTCATGTACATATATTTACTTATATTCACAGCTTGTCTGAATGTAGAGACTGAAGTTCAGTGCACAGCTGTGCCACCAACACTGACATTATGAAGGGAAACAAAATGATCAAATCCACTTTTGATAAGAAGAATTGCAATGACATGCTGATGTAACAGGAATCTACAAAGGAAAAACGTACAAATAATACTAAAATGTAACAGCCCAACATTCACAATTGGGACTGAATATTTGTCTTTTTATACACTGATCAATTCCAAGTTTCAACAACTCCCCCCTCCCCCCTACCAAGAAGGAACACACAGGAATTTGACTGTCATCCATACAGGAAGGGGGGGGGGGCATTTGAACTTTACCTGGATGGGGTTGGGAACTTCAACTGAAAGTGCAAGTCTTTCCATCGGAACAAACACATGGTTCAGAACGCCAGATACATATATTTTAGACCTGAATCACCATTGACGCAGGGTTCAATTTGCTGGATTCTAAACACTTACCTTGATCTCATCATATGACCTTCTAAATGTTCATACTCTGCCAGAGATAACAATTACACATTACTAACAAATTGCATGTATGTTTCATTGAATTCTTCAGCCTTAAACTCCACAGTCAACCACACTCTGTAATCACTCAGGCCTGGGCCATGTCAATGTGCATTGTACTGTGCTGTCAGTGATCAAAGTCAGAGGATTATTTGACTGAACGTCCTTGCTTAAACTTGTTTTAATTATTTTGTTGTCATGTTCATCATTTTTTTGAGTTAAATTTTACATTTTTTTTCTGTGAAAGGTCCTGACCATATTTTTAAACTTTTGTAAGGCAGAGGAGCCCCAAGGGCTAGGCAATAACCTAACTGTAGCTTTATACTAGATGTTTATTGTCTCGTGATGTAAATTCTGGTTATCAACTGTATGTTAAATGGTAGCCTTACTTTACATTGTGAGAAAAATGATTAAATATCCATTTACCTCTAATTGACCAGGATGAAAAACAACATTTTTTATAACATATCTATGGCTTCTTTTTACCTTTGTTTACAAGAGGTAATCAAAGTCTACTGGTTCTGTTTTTGTGCTTTTCTCAATGCAGAAGCTTTTAACTGTAAATAAAAATTCCTATATGCTACAAAACCTTGAAGCTCCTGGTTTCTAATGAGCTGGTGACCCACATGTACCTAACTCCTCACAGACTTTTCTCTATTTTTTACATCACAATAAAAGAAAACTAAATTGAATTTTTCACAATGCAGCACAAAAACAATGATCAAGCTCCTGTAATAAAACATAGGCATGCATAGCATGCAAGAGTTATTTTTTTGTGGGGTGGGATGAGATGGGACACTGTGTACCTAATGTTTTCAATTTTGTAACAGAAAAAGAGCATAACTTTCAAAAGAAAGAAAATATTACTTTACCATAAGAGAAAGAACAAAACATTTACCTGGACTCACACAGGTAGTTGTTGGTCTATTGTTTCTATGGTCTAAATACTTCTAAACAAAATAAAATGCAGCAGTGCCACACTTACTGTTGTCTCCTTCACACCCATTGTTTGGTCTCCTCACACAACACCATCTATTCCTCGTTGAAGAGAGAGCGTTTTGCATGACAAGACCAAATAACAGTTGCAAAAGGGACTATGCTTACTACTGTTCCTCTACCAGAGAGAAAATCAAAATTATTCGTCTACAGTTAGTTGCCTCAAAATATAATTCTATGTGACTTTACAACGAAAACTGAAACTCAGTTGTATCTACAATATACCCTAACCACAGAAATATTTTGATCTTGAATGAGTGAGGATACACTGAACATGAAAAAAGGTTGATATTTCAAAGAGGGCTCCTTGATTTGTTGTTGCCTTATTGAACTTTGCCCTCTGTGCATGAAATACGTGATAAAATGCAGTTTATTTACAAAGAATTACCATGTGCTTGGGTTAAGTCCAAGGTAGCTTAAAGCAAATTTCTTTTTTCATAGAAAAAGTAAAAGCGCAGGAGAGTTGCGTGGAAAATTCACTATCAGGAGCATTTCATTCTATGTGAATTTTTTCAGTGGACAATGCAGTTATTATACAAGATAAAATGAAGGTTGTATACAAGGAAATAACGGTAACCGGACATTTCGCACAAAAGACTTTTCGCACAAGTCTTTAAGCACAAGTTTTGGACCGTTCGCACAATTTTTAGTAGTCATTTCGCACAATAATCATAAGTGAGAAACGTCAATATCAAAGGTATACTGATTGATACTGATAAGACATTTCACCTTCACAGGATCCAACGGCGAGAACGTAGACATTAATTCACGTAATAACTTCAACTAGATCAAAATGCTCGTGAACACGATCACTATTCTTACTTGAAGAAAGGAAAGGTACAAATCTCTCTCTCTCTCTCCATGAAAATCTAAAGAACTCCCTATTCGAACGACTTCTTCTATAACTTTTCCTTTGTTGAACGAAAAACCTTTTAGTTTTGGCTGTATCATCCACTACAAAGTTAACATACAAACATGACGACCCACGCTAAGGTCACCATGTTGATTTCGAAAGTAATTGTCACCAGTCTTCCCTTCTTGTTCGATCGCCTTCAAATAGCATGTTTTATCGATCTGTAAGAGTTTCAAATAAAGCTATTGAAAACTTGCTTCTTATATCTTCGTTATATAATGAAAATTAGGCGTACTGGTAATACGTACAGCAAAAACAGTTCAACGTTAATAACTCCATATTCAGAGAGTGATTCACATCGAATGTCGAAACGTGCAAGTGTTGTGATTCGACAACTTAAACGCGTCAGTGTAGGTAGTAACTGGTGATCTTGTAGAAAGACAAGTTCGATCTGTAATCATTTTAAAGATCGTAAAGTTTAATACATCTATCAAGTAGTAACCTTTCAAATTATTCTAATAACAATTACCTAAGCGATGGAGAGTTCAGTATCGATCGTTAAGCGTCATAGCGATCGTGATGTAAACAAATGATTTCACGAAAGTTTCAAGAATTCAAAATAATTCAAAGATTATACGCTAGCCGTTCGATAAGTAATCATACAAGCTTAAGATCAAAACAAATAAAGAAATTTAGATGTACTATATAGCTTAAATGAATGTAGGAAAGGGTTAAATTTCTACGACTCTTGACCTTGTAGCAAGTTAAAATATGCATGATTCGTCGGGTAACATGGCCGTGAACTTGAATTTTACATATTTACACAGAAATTTTGTAAAAAGGTCTTTTCTCCTTTTAAATAAAAAGTGAACAAATTTGCAGGTTTTTACTTTGACTTCAGAGGAAGGAGGATTGGTGACAATTACTTTCGAAATCAACATGGCGTCCTTAGCGTTGGGTCGTCATGTTCGTATGTTTGTAGTGGATGATGTACTGTTAAAACTAAAAGGTTTTCCGTTTAACAAAGGAAAAGGAAAAGAAGTAATCGTTCGAATAGGGAGTTCTTTATATTTTCATAGAGAAAGATTTGTTCCTTTCCTCAAGTAAGAATAGTGATCGTGTTCACAAGCGTTTCGATCTAGTTGAAGTTATTACGTAAATAAATGTCTACGTTCTCGCCGTTGGATCTTATTGAAAGTGACATGTGAAGGTGAAATGTCTTATCAGTATCAATTAGTATACCTTTTATATTGATGTTTCTCACTTATAATTATTGAGCGAAATGACCACTAAGAATTGTGCGAACGGTCCAAAACTTGTGCGAAAAGTCTTTTGTGCGAAATGTCCTGTATTCGGAAATAACACGTGATGGAGCAAAGTCTAATGTTGCAAAATGGAATTTGATTGGTGGAGTACAATTCAAGCAAGTGAAACATTGCTTAATGTTCATATAGTGCATTGACTAGGCATGTTCTGATTGGACTTTGGTTGTTGTTTTCACGGTATGTGTTTGGCATGTGCATTGTAAGTAAGGAGTGGAAAAAACACATTTAACTTTAAAATGATGCAAAAAGTGAAATTGAACTCTTTCATATCCCAAGAAATCTCAATCTTTTGATGAGCATTTCACAAAGGCCACAAACCATTGCACTTATCAAATGAGCCCAAATTTTTGGTTAATGTCATTTTTTGTGCACAGCCTCCTAATTCCATGACACCAGTTGCAAGAAAAGCTATGATTGTTGCAAGATATCCAGCTGCTGTGATGTGATTGGTGAAAGATTCATACTGATTGATGTGAGATACAGAGATACATACCCTTATGTGGCAATCTGACTGGCATGAGATACATGCCCTAAAATGCAGGGATCTAATTGGTGCGAGCAACATACCACTCCACTCCCTAACAAAGAGTTATTTCTTTTTCATGGAAAAAAAAATCTAAAAAACCATTTAAAGATAGGAATTTAATATTACCAACACTCACTAAAGGTGATGATGAATTCTAGAGGAAACATTCCACTTGTCGGCTAGAAAGTGCCGAGACTTCTGTGGAGCAAAATAAAAAGACAATTAATTCTGGTTTGGCCAATCAGGATGCAGCCATAGGAGTCACAGATGGTAAAATGTGAGACTCACAGAAGTACAAAGACCCTAATTTTTTGAAAATGCAAGAGCATGACCATATATAATTTCAGCTGCTTCGCATGACCTCTCACTTTGGCCAAAAGACTTCTAGATGGGAACTTAAGTTGATTCTAAACAAGCTTAACTCTCAAGGGCACAACGCCTTGCCCCGACCAGGACTAGAACCCGGGTCGTCCGACTCGGAGCTCAGTGCACTGACCACTGGACGACTGGAAAAAGCCGTGGCGTTGGCGTGCCCGCGGTACAGTTGACCACGCATGTTAAAAGTAGCATCTTGTACGGTCGTACATCCAAATTTTTCCCGCTAGATGGGTTACTACTATTTTTTATAATTATGGGGCTACGCTCCAGTGATAAAGCTCAATCGTTAGTTAAACTGTTAAACTGTTAGTTAAACTGTTAGTTAAATCGCTAGTTAAACGGTTAAACCCTTTTTCGGGAAACGATATGCCGATAATGTTAATTCTGCGGTATCCGGACATGAAGCGGAACGCCCCCTAACGCACTTGAATTCAATAGAGCCGTCTATCCAATTCACCCTTGAGCGTGAAAAGGATAGACATATGCCCTTTCTTGATTTAAATGTGTACAGAGGGGAACAGGGGAATTTAGAGTGTCTGTCGCAAACCTATCCACACCGACAAATACCTCGCTTTCGATTCTCATCACCCATTTGCCATAAAAAGTCTGTAGCAAAAAGTTTACTCCGGAAGACTGACTGTCTACCATCTTCACTCGATTCGAGGGCTGAGGAGAGGAAATATGTTTCTAATGTCCTAAAGGCGAATGGCTATACCAAAACTTTTCTCCGTAACTGCCGAAAACCAGCTACAATCAGTCGGCACTCCTGATGAGGGAGAACCAGCGGCTGGTTTTGCTGTTATCCCCGACATTCAGGGTGTTACGGAACCCATCAAGAGAATTTTGAATAGGCACAATTAAAGTTAAAGTTGATCACAAACCTTTTCAGAGTTTGGGGCATATTTTTGCAAACCTAAGGATCCTGTCACGAAAGAACAACGAACCGACCCTATTTATTCTATTCCGTGCAATGACTGTGATAACGAGTATATCGGACTGACCAAACGTCAGTTTGGTACACGTTTAGAAGGGCATCAAAAAGCGGTTGTCCTTTATCGGAGCACACATGCTTAACCAACCATGCAGTTAGGTGGGATAAGTCTCAAATTATCACCACTAATCGGCGTTACCACCCTCGCCTTTGTTTGGAAGCCTGGCATATCAACTCCGCCCACGCTCCTTTAAATCGTGATGGTGGCGGCTTACTTCCTGACGCCTACTTACACCTCGTCAGAAAAAAAGGGCAGCTACTTAATGAGCGTATAAAGGCCCTTTTGTTGCAGCGTTTAGATCACCTCTGATGAAGGCACTAGACAGGAGTGTCGAAACGTTGGGTCTGTGAGTTGTAACTCCTCGGTTGCATTCATTAAATCTTTAAATCAGAGTAGCATCAAACCATGTCTCAATCATTCGTGCTAAAACATCAATCGCTAGTGATAAAACTCAGTCGTTAGTGCTAGAATATCAATCGCTAGTGATAAAGCTCAATCGTTATTACTAAAATATCAATCGCTGGTGATAAAACTCAATAGTTAGTGGTAGCAACAACTCCACGAACTCATTGTGGCAGAAGAGACCTTAAGTAGACTATGCTGTCAACCTACCTCTCGCCCTGACTTGAAATCGACTCACAGCCCCTTGTCTCCGAGGATGACGCAACACGCGCTTAGCGCAAAAAACAAACAACAGCACGACTCTGTCGATTGTAACTGTGCTCGGCGCCTGATGGACAGCAAAAAACCCGTTTTCTTTAACTTGTCAATGCAAAACATTAATTAATTTCAGGAAAGCCTCATTTTTTGGGTTAGAGCATTTACTGTAGGGGAAACTCAATCCGACTCAGGACTTGTATGTCACATGCACCGCCGTTTGCAATTTGTACACAACATATTTTATCATATGAAAATCTGACAGTTTTTGTCCTGCGCAGTAAGCCATCAAGGCTTGATATTTTGAGAAAGTTCCATTTTTCAAGAGAAGACCAAACAACGAAGTAAACCTTGCAATAATTGTTTTTAAAGCGGGTGAATAGAATATTTCCACATTACTTGAATGACTTCAAATTAGATTCCACCGGTACTACGGTCCTTTGGAAACCAAATTTTCTTGGATTGATGAGTTACTAGCAAATTTTATAGGTATTGTTGCCTCTGTGAGGTCCACTTTAATAAGAGAAAATAGATATATGGGATCAGACAAGGTAAAAGTGATTGTTGATAAATGGACTCTTCCACGGGATAAAGTTAATTTTGTTTTCATATGGTTTCAGCTGGTTTGTACAAATTTTAGTTAAAAGTGAAACTGGTCATTAATAATTGATCAAAAGAGAACAATCTGTTAGTAAGCCTTTGCTCTTTTGTTTCAATAGCCTTGATGATTGGTCATCAAACACTAAAATACGTATTTGTTTTGATAGTATGCCAAAACAATACTAGCACTTTACGCCTTCTGTGCGCTTCTCACGCTTTAAGTTCGCTAGAAATTTACTCCATCATCGAAGAAACTCAACTTTGAAAGGTAAATGGACATTTTCTAATTTTATTTATTTTGTCATGAATGCATGGTGCGAGAATTG